TACTCTTTTTGTTGGCTACAATAAAAAGTTCTGTTTATGCATTTGCTCCTTGTATAATAAATATTCTTGCACATTTATGATGAGCCCATATGGTCCACAATAACCYAGACCCTGATCACAAGAAGCTTTGGGTAGGTTTCTCCACAGCCTCCTGTGTCCTGTAGTCTCTATTTCTCCTGTTACTCTTGGGAGCAAGTTCAGTGATGAACACTTGCAGTGAAAACAGAGATGTATAAACACAGTGCTGCAGGTGAGTGAGCCTCAGTGAAATGCCTTAGGGCATTGCAGTAGTATTGAAATAGTTCTGCACTTTAAATGTCTTCTGCTGTGCTCTACTCACTTTATGACCATTAGGATAGTTGGAGTGTTCTGCAGTGGGAGGAGTCCTTCTTGGTAGTGGTATAAGGAATGTGGAGGCTGTTCATCCAAAGGCCTTTTGCAGAACGTGGCAAATGAGCTGTCAGTGTCAGAATCTCAGCACAAATCAGAAGCCAGTTCAGTCTGCTGAGCAACCCAGAATCCAAGGAGTACAAAGATAGTTTAAAGCCAGTCTTGCTTCTTCTCCCCTAAGGCTGTGAATTCAGTTCTCCTTCTACATATGCAGTGTAAAATATATCCTGTAGCCCTGCTGCATTGTTTACTTAATTTTGCAGGCTCCTTTCTACATCAGGATGGGRTTTTCTCACTTAAAAAACCACTACAAATAGGAGTGCCTTCCCCCTGTTGTAAAYAGGCACAGGACCCTGGCACAGGTATTTCTATACACCTATTTTAATCTCTGTCTGCAGATGAGGACACACAGTCCAAACAGATACAATCAGTCTTTCTGCAGACTTCAGCTGTTTTGGGATCAGGCATGTAAATCCTCACATTATCCACAAAACATGTACAGTGTTGAAGTAATTCAATTGAAGAACTACATATTTTCCAGACCTGCAGATTGATTTGATGTGATCATGTTTGTGGGGCAAAAGTGCCAYTCCTTTTCAGTACTTTGCCTCCCTTCTAGCAAAGAACAGGGCTGCCAAATTCTGCTAGCTGTGGGAAATTCTGAGATATTAATATTTATCCATTGAGATGTGAAATGAGARTAATAAAGGGTGATGTTTCAAAAAGCTGTATTTTGAAGGAAAAGAACACCTGCAAAATTTTGTGGCAATTTGTGAAATGTAAAACTGAAGAGAAATCAAGCCAGTTTCTTGAAGGTGGTACTGTGAAAGTGGCTAGCTTTTTGAGCCTTATGTTTAACATACTGCTCACAGAATTTATCACRTCCAATTCTTTTATGACAGTCAGTATTACTTCATGTTTGTGTGTGATTGAAAGCTATATCAAAATGTGTTCCTGAAATGTGGCATTGTATTGAGCCATTTTTCTCTTTACACTTTAATAAATTAACTACTGTTTGTACTGTGTCCCCAAATATCTTTTATAAATAACAGTATTAGAGACTCACCACTGCCTGAAGGTTGTGCATATTCAGGAGAAGACTTTTGCAGTCAAGCCAACAGGAAAAGAAATGGCAGCCTGATAGACATAACATGAAAAGAAATAGTACAAACAGTACAGATAATTAAACATAGCAGGAAAATCAAAACAGAAGACTATTTCAATTCAGAACTTGATCTGAGGTGAGAGAGGGCAGAGCACTGGGCAGCTAAAGGGGATACTGCCTTCAGTATCTCTTAGGGTTGTGTTCTTAATTGGATTGGACCATGATTTCCACTGTTTTGCGAGGGTGGTAGCAGGTGTCCAGCATGCTCATTTTAATCTGCTCATCCCCACTAAAACAAAGTACTAGTGAGGAGGAAGTGTTGTGAGGGACTATGTTTAGTGAAATAAAGTGAGCTACAGTAGCTGAGCTGAAGAATTTATTAGTGCGATTATACTGATACAAAGAGCTTCCCGCTCATATTGAAGAGTTTAGATGCACTGTTCCTACACTGAACAGCTTACTRTCCAAACAAATATGTAAAAAAGATTAACAAAAACAAAAGTAACAACACCAAACAAACAAACAAACATGACAAAAAAGCAAGAGGAAGAAAATACAATGCATGAGGAAACTGAAATACAGAAAAGTGAAACAGCATTTCACCAGGGATGGGAGAAACAGGTAATTAACACACCCTCTCTAGGTCTCTAACCTTGCTAGTTCAATGATGCTATCCAATGTCTTTAGAGGCAAAGGTCAGGAAAACTGGGAAAACTATATTGGGGTCCTCTAGGCTAGYTGGCACAACAGGACTCTGGATATAACTAAATCACCTGGATACTACAAGATTAATACACTGAATCTGTTAGACTGACTAATTTCGAGTGAACAGACCAAGTGAAAAGAAATATAAGGTAAAAGCAGTTATTTATATTTTCATGTATTAACAATAAGGTTAATTTGATTTTACAGGCCTTTTCTCCTTTTGATTGATTTTGATGCACAGAGAAGAGAGGGCCCCTTTCTAAGACATTTTTACATTTCCAAAATATTGAGGGCATGTTATTTTGTTTTTTAAAAAATGTCAGTTTTGGCCACCTAAGGTCTGAGAAGCAGAGCCAAGCCAGGCCAGTGAACATTATGCAATTAAATGCAGGTCTGTTAYATGATGCTATTGTGACACCAAAGAAACAGTGGCATTTTGAGAATAGCCATGGCTCATATTTCAAAATCAGCAGAATAAATAATCTTCCATACAGTTTTATTGCRTCCCTATTGCAGCCATATCTGGAATACAGTGCACTGGCATTTCCAACCATTTAGGAATAATGCAGGAGAACACTTATTGTAAATGGAGRCAAAGTTTTCCAAAAGTTTTGGGRGAAAAAAWMCCAACACTTTTTACAAGATGGACATATTTAGGASCTCCACATGCAGGAAGTAGTTCSGTTTATTGCAGCAGCTCAAAACCAKTGTTGACTGTTACAGGACCTGGTTTGGTTTGCAGTTCAATTCACCATCATGAATCAACAGTTAAATYAATTCTTGCAAATGACAGCTAACCTGACTTTTGCCAGCTCTTTGTCTCTGCATATATATTTTGATGTGCATTTACCTGACACAGTGCCACCCAACAGAAAATGCATTGATTTTTTTTCACTGTCTACTGCTCTAATTCTCACTCTTCAGCTTTGCTGGTAGATTTGAGTGCTTGAGCTCATGTGTTAGGTGTCAAAGATTGCAGTATTGCAGCACTCAGTAGATTTGTACGTGGCATTGATGSTAGCTGGGGACCTTGGTGCTTCTGCTGCAACAAATAAACTACAGAGAGAGATCTTGAACTGCCTGCATCGTGCTTCAGGCAAACTCACTTTCTTTTGCATTCCAGCCTCTAGCTATTTGGTCAGCATCTCTGTTCTTTGAAAATGCTTTAATTATTTTTCAATATTGTCGCTTGGAACTTCAGGGGATGGTTTTAAGTCATGTCACTGATGTCGTCTTACTTGCACTGACTGCTTTGGAAATACTTTAGAAAATGATGCAATCTTACATCTCCCTTTATACTGGTTTATGGTTCATTTCCTATTCCCAAGTTGTTTCTTGTCCAACTTCTTTCTGAGCTCCTAATTTACATTGTTTTATGATCTCCCCTTCTTTCCTAATCTCCTGTTTTTAGTAAAATTTTCTTGTAATATTCCTAAATGGGRGGATATAACTGTGTGAGAGCCTTTCAAAATATATAACAGTTTGGATTATTAGGACATAGACACTATTACCTTCTTGGCAGAACTAATTAGCACTTTTAACAGCTGGSTCTGTTTAGAAACCAAAGTTGCCTTATGGCTGAGCATCCTGGAAAACACCACTCTAAGGAGATTTGTGTCTTCTTATAATATTAACCTACATTAACAAGATATATTAAAATGCTGAAGACAGTGTCTGGAACAATCTCACTAAAAGGCCAGTGGTCAGCACCTGTTTTAGCTTAAATCAATGAAAACTGTACAATGGATTTTTATTTTAGTAAGAGCAAGTGGTTTAATTTTTAACAGTCCTTCTTCCTCTCTGCCCTCCAGYAAATGTAGGAGTGCATACAGGAGAATATTCAAAGCAAAACACACATTAAAAATTCTAAGCTTGTTTTCCATTTGCTGGGCTTCTCTGGCCACTAAGACCTCTTTTATTCACTTGAATGAATCAATTTGCTTTGGACTCATTTTTCAGATCGTTTTCAAACAGTAGGTATTATTTATAGAGGAAATRGTATAATATTGAAGCCCTTCCAATGTTTCAGATATTAACTGATGGTCACTGACAAGTCATAACCAGGGACTGTGTTCTTTAGAAGTTAACATCTATAAGGAATTATGTCTCCATCAACCTTGGAGTTTTCCTCTTAACTTGAGTGTGCTAAAAAAGGAAGGCAGGAACACATCTCAAGTTCRCTTTGGTTCCACTTTCTGAATGAAAATATGCAAAATTGCCCAAGGATGAGGAATAATAGTACACACATATAGAGTGCCACTCTCACACTTTTGAACATGGCTTTTAGTTATTAAAGATCTGACACTGTAGAACTCAAGTAAAAGTTTGTACAGGCAGACAAATCTACAACTTGTTAACAGTGCTCCAGCAGGCAGATCTGCTAAATTTCAATCCTCTCCATTTTCAGGCACAGATATGAAAACAGTGACTTAYATAATAACTTACTAGGTAGCATATTCTGATCTTCCAGAAGTGAAAACATTCTTASTAAAAGTTTAATGCCCCTTTAACCCATTTATAAACCACTGTGTATGGCTACATATAAACATCTACTCTTAAAATACTTGATTCACTTTCATGATGTAGTTATTGCACAGATTCAAAATCATCAAAACTTAATACGTATGAAGAATACCAGTCATGGATCAGTCTAAGTATTTACCTGATTTCCTGGCCAGAGTATTTTGAAAGCATTGTTCCTTTGGTTTTGTTTGAAAATCCAAATMAAATTAGCATTATTTTAGACAGCCAGGACAAGCAGGGTGTCTGTTAGGGTACTACAGTATTACTAATGATCAAAAAAATTCTCTGTAATGTATATAAGATATCAGTCTGGTAGGTACCTACACATGATAAAGTAGATTTTTCCTTTGTCCTCTTTTAAGGTATTCATACTCATTCTGGRACATGAAGCCCAGATGTTGTCTCACTTATTTCCAGAATCCCCTCCAGTATAGTTTACTCCATTGGAACTAAAGCTGTAGTTTACGTGCACGGCCATAGAGCGGCAGCCTAGTAACAAAAACAACAGATGCACTTGATGTTAGAAGAAGTGGGTGTTTCCCAATGGTTTAACATTTCAGAGGGGTTTCTAAACGCTACAGAGAAAAAGGCAGGATGCATGGCTGCCCCATGGGGAGCGGGGGAGGCGGGAGGGGGATCTGGCCTTGATAAAAGCTCAATACTAAGGGGAGGGAGGGAGGGGAAAGAGGTTGAAAATTGGATGGCGAACGGGATCGCATTTCGTGCCTGTATAAGATGATCAAAGAGTAAAAAACGAAGTACTTGATTTATGTCTTAAAAATCAAATGCTTTTTCTTCCCTTTGATACAGGCAGTAAAGCACTTCCATCAYCTGTGGAAACTAGTGAACAGGGTAACATTAATGCAAACTAATTTTTAGTTAAGCAGTTTCACAGACTTCTCATTGATAAAAATAGAGCTCAAAAATTCTCTGAATGTTCACCCAGCATTGCAAATCTAAAATGTCAAAGTACAATATTTAATTGTTCTGTTGTTTGCCATAGAGTTTTATGTGTGAAATAAGAACAATTAGATCTCTCTGCATTAAGCTTTATTTTTATGTGGAATTAAGTGGGTTTAGCAATTTCAAGCACACTTGAAACAGTATGTAAAAAATCWCTGAGGCTGAGCTTTCTTTGCATTTATGTAAATGAAAATTAGGATTAACTCCATTAATGCTGGTGGAGTTTCAACAGCATGAAATTAGTGTGAGAAAAGAATTAGCCACTGCAAATTTTAAAAAAGTTAGTTYCCAGTGCTACTAAATTATACAGCTCATTATCCTTAAAACCAAAATTACACTATGTGAACCATATATAATTTTACTTCAAATGGCTGCAATTATCAAATTCAGTTATTACACAATAAATACCTTTATGCTGCAATTCCTGATATTTTTATGTGTGATGTCCACATATTACTTATGTCCTTTGGAAACCTGAAGTAATACAAAATTGAGAAAAGTGGAGAGATAAATGCCAACCAATTAGTAATCAAATATGGGCTTCACTATACTTTATAGTGAACAACTTTCACTGCAGTAAGCCTGAAAATTACCTATCAGACTGAGATATAATTGAAAACTGAAACAAGGAAGCTTCCTCATGCTGGCAAACTCATATTCCTTCAAATTACCACATATCCCTTTTCCCACACATACCCATCTGACTTACTTGGCTGACATTCAGTGAATAAATTTCAGAGAACTGGTAAATATAATACTTCCCAGAACTGTAACAGTTACTTGCAATAAATTGATGTTTCTAAAGAATGAAAAAGATATTCCAACCTCCTCAATATCCTCCTGGATATCAAAACAAATTCAACMTCTTCTTTTCTTCAGCTTCTACATCACTACCACCTAGCCTATTGATACTTCCATGTTTCCAATGTGAAAAGAGATAGAAGTCAAGTACTCAGTAATGGCTCAGAAAGTGAGCCACAGATGGGTCGGTCCAGCCTGACATCCCATCTTCTGCAATAGCAAATAGTACATACTTCCAGGAAAAGGATGAAAATAGCTTGAGTAACCTCTCTCTCCAGCAGCAAGCTGTTCAGAAACTTTCTGAGCCATGGAAATGCAGAAATACTTATTTCCATATCAATTATAATTATAACCTCCATTTTATTTACTCCCCTTTGATCCTGAGACCTCCTGGGTGACAGTTACTATCCCTCAGGCTACTACTATCTCCTGCCTACTTGCTTGCTTTAAACCTGCAACCAGATCTCTTCATTGGCAGCACTCTAGTGCTTATGTTATGAGAATAATGGTGCCACAGWCTCTACTGACAAAAATTCAGGGAATAAACAGCAAAAGGCATCAGGAAGCTATCTAGGATCAATGGTACAAAATCTAACTAGCTGTCATCCACCAGCAGGGCCTTCAGATAGACTTGGATATTAGGGTCAATACTGTATAGCTTCTTTAATAAAGACACAGATAATGGGATTGGTTGCATGTATAGCACGTTTGTGAGTGATACCAAACTGTAGGGTATGGCTAGAGAGGCAGGGCTGCTATTCAGAAGGACCTCTGTATTCTGGAGAAACAGGCTGACTAGGACCTTATATAGTTTAACTAGGGCAGATGCAGAGTCCTGTGTCAGGGATGGAATAACTTCATGCAATAGGGCAGGCTAGAAGCCAGATGGGTAAAAAGCAGCTCTGCATAAAATGATTGGGAGATCCTGTTGGAGTTTGTTTGAGATTGAGTTGAATGTGAGCTGGCAGCATGCCCTTATCTTTTATTGAAGATGCAGAGCAATAGGGCAAGAGCCAATGGGCATAAATTAGAAAACAAATTCCCACTTGGAATCAGAAACAACTTTGTTACCAAGAGGGCAGTCCAATACTGGAACAATGGCCCAGAGAGGCTGTGGAATCTCCATCCTAAGAAACACTTGAAGCATTTGAAGCTGGGCTGGAAAAAGCCTAAGCAACCGGATCTATTTGGTTCTGCTCTGAGCAGGGCGGCCTCCTCTTCTAACGTGAATGATTCTGCGTTTCTGTCAGTCTCTGGATGCTACAATTGAACCAGAAGGTGAAGAATGAGGCAGGGAACTCAAGAAGGATGTAGACCTGTTGGAGTGAGTCCAGAGGAGTGCCACAAAAATGATTAGAGCGCTGGAGCRCAACTCCTGTGCAGAAAGGCTGAGAGAGAGTTTGGGTTCTTTGATTTGGAGAAGGCTCCAGGGATACCTTATAGCAGCCTTCCAGTATCTAAAGAAGGCCACAAGAAGGCTGGAGAGGACCTTTTTATAAGGGCATGTAGGTATAGGATAAGAGGAAACAGTTTTAAACTGAGAGAAGGTAGATTTAGATTAGATTAAATTTGATTAGACATTAGGAAGAAATGAGGGTGGTGGGGCAGAGGAACAGGTTGCCCAGAGGTGGGGCTGCCCCATCCCTGGAAGTGTTCAAGACTATTGGATGGAGCTTTGAGCAAGCTGRTCTAATGGAAGCTATCCCTGCCCATGGTAGAAAGGCTGGAACTGGATGGTTTTTAACCAACATAAACCATTCTGTGGTTCTATAACTCCCAGAAGAGAGCAATTTCTATCAAAAAAAAGCTTGCTTGTGAGCTCCAGATAGGAACAGATTAAGTATCATAAATTATTTTCTGAAGTGCTTAGGACTCAGTACAGAATTAGTTCCAAAGAAATCTGGTTTTGCCATTTGAAACAAGCATGCACTACACAGCTACAGCCCTAATCATCTTCAGAAGAAGCCTATAAACTTCAGTTCTGTTTTCATTCCAATTTCAGTATTTATTCATTGGCATGTATTCCTGGATACAGTTGTAAACCCAATAAGCAACTTCCATTTGACTTTCCATCTTCCAATAAAAAAGGGAAATTCTTGTTCACTCTGCCACGTTTTTCCTACAGCTATATACAACTTTCCCAGGTTATTTTCATGAAATTGGCAAGTTACATGTGTCCAGATGATGAARAATTTATTTTGCATATTTTTAGAAATTGCACCAGAGCTTTGATTAATTTATCATGTAGTAATATTGGCATAGGAATACTTGCAGAGGAATACCTATTTTGTCAGCTCTCTCAGGTTTATTGAGATATTCAAGGAGCTGGAATACTRAGGCATTATTAGGTTGCCTTGTCTTGCTTTCTGTGCATCACAACTACCCAGTGTGCTTATTGTTTAGTTTAGCAAAATAGGTCAGGGAGGTCCCTTGACTACAATAAGTATGATCATATGTGCGTTTTTCAGTCCTACTCACACCCATGTGCACACAAAGAATTACATGTATAGTCATATATATATATATATATATATATATATACACACAAATTTATGCAATTCATACCCATATATGGAGTAAGGTATCCTGGATCCAATAATAATGAACTAAAAGAAAAAACTTACAGGCTGAGATTCTCAACTGTGCCACAGATTTTCCTTTTAATAAGATACAGACTGAGACTGTGCTAGCTCTTTGAATATAATTTCTATTCATATGAATAATGCAGAAGAAATGCTAGAGGACTTCAAACTTTAACACTAGTTAGCGTCATCATTTGGCAGGTGAGATATTTCCCACAAGTCACATAATTCTACATATTTATTCCTACTGATTTCACTAATCTCTGCACTGGAAAGCCAAGCTCCTYTACTGGAGCGTCTCCTCCCATCCGATGTAGAGTAACTCCAGCAATAAGCCTCTAGTGACTGGAACAGATGTTGCTGTTTATTTAATTTATTTATTTTACTAATACACAGCTGCCAGGACCAACAAATAAAAAACATTCAATTCTATCAGGATTGTGATTTCCAGTGACTACATCTTTAGGGACAGAGTCCCTAAAATTGATGTTTTTTTTAAAAAACAAGGATGTCAAGCTTGAACTTAATCAAATAATTATTATGATAAAGAATCTCAAGATACTGGTATCTGGCAGCTTACATTCTGTAAATACACGAGCTTTTGGTTGTGCAAACTGACTTCTCAGAGACAACTCATGCTGTACGTTCAGGCCCATTTGTTGCACATCTGAATGGTCAGAGTTCAAAATTAATAACAATATATCATCAAAATTATTTAGGATAGTAACTATGCATTGTTTTCATTTGCATTGGTAAGTGGCAACCATATGMAAGTTTCCCTTAATGCAAGTAAAATACAACAGAATTTCACTTTGGGGAGCGAAATATAAGGGAAAATAGAAAAAGGGTAAAAAAACCAACAGAAATACCAAAAAAGGCAGCTGAAAGGCAAATTCCCTTGGATTAGAATTTTGACTATTTCTGGTTCTCTATTTTGCCTTCAGCAAAACAGTCAGTGGCCAGATTTCCACCAGTGGTGGCAGTGCCTTCCAGGTGCTGGAGAGAGATTCTCACCTGAGTTACATGTCCTTCATGGAGTGCATGGGAGAACCAAGMCCCCAACACAGGCCATCCACCCACTGCCACTGAGCAGGGAGCTGCTGGGGCCAGCTAAAGGGCTGCCTAATACAGAACAGTGCAACTGCAATTCTGTGCTCCCTGGAGATTAGGGTACAAATTAGGGCTGTAAACAAAGTGGTTTTTTGGGGGTTTTTTGGTGGGTTTTTTTTTTTTTAAATTTTTTTATTGTTATTTTTTTATTTAGACAGCAGCCAGAGTCTAGAAACTGCTCTCAGAAAGAACAGAAGGAAGTTTTCTTCAAAACATATCTGCTGAGGAGATGCTGTTGGCTCTAGATACAATACATTAATAGGTCATTGCCTGCAATATGAAAGATCAGGACTTAATTTTAACTCAGACAAGGAAATTAAAACTCACCTTCCCTTTCTTGCATCAATATTTCTTACCCAGCAATTTATACAAAATGGGAAATCAGGGAGTCTTTTGGAGCTGGAGTACTATGCTGCAAAGAGCACAAGCCTGGAAAGAGCAAACCAAAGGAGGATGATTGTACCAGCTGGCAGCTAGGAACTAACTCTCAAAGGRTGAGAAAGAGACTTGGTTCTTGCTCTTTGAATTTTATCCAATGATTTTAAAATGTGAAGGGTTATCAGTGCTTCTCACCTGCTAGATGCTTTTGAAAAAATCCCAATAGAATTCTATTTCAAATAATTTAGGCACCTACTAATGCAGATATTTGACCTCAAATTTCCATCAGCCATTGTCCTCTAATTCAGCAAATTTATGAGAAYTTCAGTAAAACTTCCTAGTGAATACCTTGCAGAACAAGGAGGGACCTTAAAATATGGGCCTTTATGTCTATGGTTTAACTGGTAGTCACACTGCAAGTATTATCTCCCTCCAGCTGTCTATTCTGAGAGTGTGAAGTGTTCAATCTCACACAAAGATAGGTGCTCAGCTTTTCTCTTAAACTATTTATTTGGTATAAATCAAATTATTGGCATAAAGTTAAACATTTTTCAAAAGATTAAGTAAAAACTCCTATCAATTAAGTACTTTATACTGAAGACCCTTAACAGCAACCCACAAACTCAAAGAGAAGTTAAACTACAATGCAAAATATTAAAACAAACTCAGTTTCCAGGAAATAAACTCTTATTTTCTGTACATCCTATGCAAGAAATGCAAAGCAAAGCTTTCTTCCTTGGCAAGTCTTACTTCTCTCTCTTATTTTCTTTGTAGAAAGTAACAGCTACTGGCTACTAGCTGAAAATGGGGAAGAATCACTTTATTCCAGACCAAAGCAAGGAACAAAAATGTCCTTGAAGAGAAACAAAACATTACTAATAATTACTCTCTGATTTTTAGATTTTTGCCTTGCAGCTGAATTGTCCATCTCCTGTCTAGTACTGGCCTATTCATGAAGAAAATCAGCATTCATATACTCAAACAAGAATGCTACCTAATAAAATTTCATTGTATTTCAAGTAAYATAAGAGAGACATGCCAGCTTGTATGAACTTCCATTGCCTGTTTGTCTCTGCATCTTCCCAGGCATGCAGCTGGACAGTCATTGTATTCAGGGAGCAGGGGACTTGTAGAGTACGACACTTTATTTTTCCTTCCCTCAGTTTCTAGCAGGTGCAAATTCATATTAGCTCAGGAAAAAATCCCCAACAACAATACAACAACAACAACAACAACAACAAAGAAATTCCAAAATTCCAGTATGTCTGATTTCACATCTGGTAGATAGGCTTTGTGCAACTCAGCTGCAGGATTTTCTTGTATCACAGGTAACCTATCCCCATTGTCAGTAGCTCGGTGATTAGTCTAGCAAAAAGGTGGTCTATYAGGAGTACAAAGCAGAAGGCTTTATGAAAGCAGAGAGAGCTGTGACTTTGGAAGGGAATATAATGATGGAAACTAAGGGAGATGTGATGGAAACAAAAAATACTGTGTAGGTATTAATAAGCAAGYGTTTCTCTAGGGAATTTCCATAGACTGCATTGTAATTAGCTCAGAGGAGGCCTTGTATTTGACCCAGTGTGCAGCACTGCTATTAYCGTCTACTAAAATTTTCCCTGCTAGTGAACTGTCAACATTCTTTTTTTCCTTACCAATCTGAGAGAAATGGGTTATTAAAATCAGGYTTTCGGAGATGATTTTTGAGGGCATGGTGGGCGTTTTTCACTATTGACTATGATGTGACATAGATGTTTATAGAAGAGTAGCTTTAGCTCTGTTTGCTCAAATACCATGTGTGYTATAATCACAGTTTTTATAACCAGAAGAGCAGACTAATGCTGATAACCTAATTTTCACTAAGAAATGTGTTATGTGGTCCTCAGCCAAATCTCCCACTGGACCCTGGAGTACAACTTGTAATTAGAAAAGGAGGATTGAGCCTTTATATGTCTACTACTACTCAGCCTCCAGGGATATATTTTTGTTAAATACGCTCCAGGTGTGYTCTTAAGGTAAGTGATTTGCTATGGTCCAGACATAAATCTTCTCAGGCAGAGATGGTTTAGCAAATCTGGGAGAAATATGTAACAGACAGAAAAATTTTCCATCCTGCAAAACTAGCAACCTGTGGAGAAGGAAGGAGGTCTTGTCTTGTTTCTGCCAGAAGGATTTTTTCCTCAGTTGTTAGTTGCTTTCCTCCTCCCCAAAGGCACAGCTTGCAGGATTTTCAGCACAAGTCCAGGGTTCTGCTCTGTGTCTTTAAAGCAGAAAGAGAAAAGGTGAGCATCTAAAGAGAACATGGCAACATTGTATTAAGTGCTTTGGGCACATAATCTCAAGGAAAAAAAAGCCCTC